GTGTGTGTGTGTGTGTGTGTGTGTGTGTGTGTGTGTGTGTGTGTGTGGCGGCCACCCTGAGACTCTGCCCCCTGACCTCACAGCCCTCCCTTCCTGGGGTTCCCCCACTGACCCGGTCTAATGCCGGGAATTAGCCTCGGGCATTCCTTCTTTCCCGTGCAGCGGGGTCTCCCTTTCCAGAGGGTGGGCTGGCTCTTTTCCTAAAGTGCTGCCTCTCGCACCCGCTGACTCAGTTTGGTCCTTGGCCTCGAAAACCTCTGGGATGCCAAATGCATGCGTGTCCGGTGTGGTGGTAGGGCGCAGCCTGCCTCCTCCTCCAGCAGAGGAGCCGGCAAAGCGCACGTAGGCAGTCAATTAAGGAGACCTCAGAGCAACACACGGAGCAGCTGCTGAGAGACCTGGGCCCACGGCCCTGCGGGGAGGATTTTTCTCTGGGACAGGCAATTAGTGGGGCTCCCAACTTGGCTGATGTGAGGTCAGCATCAGCGTGCAGGGCCCCCAGTCCCAAACGATTCAGATCTCACCCAGAGCCTTGACTCCCTCCAACTTCTCAAAGGAGGAATGGAGAACCCAAGAGGGCCCCAAAGATGTAGAGCAGGGGTCCTCAACCTGGAGGTTGAGTGACGCTTGTGCTGGGGTCGCCTAAGACCATCTGCATATCAGTGGCAAAATCACAGTCATGAAGTAGCAACGAAAATAATTTTACAGTTGGGGGTCACCACAACATGAGGAACTGTATTAAGAGGCGGCAGCATCAGGAAGGCTGAGAACCATGGTCTAGAATTCCCTCCCCCCCACATTTACTCCGACGGTGGTATTAGACAAAGCTATACGGGTCGCCTCTGCTTCAATAGCAAATCAGAAGCTGGCCCTGAGGGGCAGCCAGCGAGCAGCGCAGCGCAGAACCACACTCATCTGCATCCCCGCAGATGCTTTCCAGAGCTGCCAGGAGTCTGGCGATGAGGACAGGAGGACTCGGAACTCGAGGGACACACAGCCCAGACGGCGCTGGTAAGTCTCAGATCCCTGTTCCCAGCCCAGCTCCAGAGCTCTGACAGGGAGCCCTGTTAACTCCCTCACATCGCTTCCTTTGATCCTGCTTCTGAGTCCTGGACCAATTTCCTCCAGCAAACGGAGCGCACTGAGGAAAGAGAGAGTAGACCCCTTCATTCCAGGTCTCATGAGAGCGTGGCTCCCAACCTGAGACCTCTAAGGCCATCGTGTCCCAAGGGAGAGGATGAGGACCCTGAATTCTCCTTTCCAGACCTTGGCGTCAGGACTGGTCAGAAGAAACAGGTCGAAAGCAGGAAGGGTTTCAGCCAGTTAGCAGGAGGAATCTCCTGACGCTTAAGATGACATTTGTTGATCCCTTACAACCCTAGCACTTGGAAGACGGAGACAGGAGGATCACTGTGGGCTAGAGACCTGCCTGGGCTACAGAGTGAGACTGTCTCAAAAAACCAAGATAGCACAAAGAAGAAGACTCAGAACCAAGACTACTCGGATATCCTCCTGCCTCTGGTGTAACAAACAGGGGAGCCTCTAGTGAGACCTTCCACTTCCCGGCCTTGCTCAGGGCAACCCAGCAGCCTGCACAAAGCTGAAGGCCAGCTACCGAGCGAAGCCTCGAGGAGATTTAAAATTTTGTTATTGCTTGCATGCCCACTATATGGGGGTCATTTGCATACACTGTTGTATGCATGCGGGGTGTATGAGGGGCATGCTACCCACGAGTGTAGAGGGCAGAGACTCTCTCCTTTCATCTTTGCATCGGTTCTAGGGACTGAATTCAGGTCTCAGGTCATCAGGTCACCGCAACTGCCTTTACCCACTGAGTTATTTTGCAGGGAAACTTTGTTTTGGAGACAGGTTTTCAGGTATCAGGCTGGCCTGGAAATTGCTATGTAGCTGAGGACAACCTTAAACTTCTAATCTTCCTGCCTCTACCTCCCGAGTCCTCCAGAATGATGAGCTGACAGGCATGTTCCACCATGCTTAGGGTTGCTCGGAACCAAACCCAGGCCTTCTCACAGCCCCAGGCTTTTGTGTACTAGGCCAGGCTCTACCAACTAAACTATCTTCTTGCCCCCTCGTCCCCCAGAGGACCTTTGAGTGCGCTATTTGGAAGCTTCCACTGAGGGGTGAGGCAATCTCTCCATCGTCCACACTTTCTAGATGAGGCTGCCCAAACACAACTGTGCACAGTGACTTGAGTGTCCAGCTGCAGTGCAAACCCAGCTGTCTCGGAAGCCCCATTAAGCACGTGTGAAGACATGTGGAAGGTGCACATAGTTTGTACGGCAGTCTCGCCTGGATCTCAGCTCCCTCTTTAAGTCGCTCCTCATCCCTAGGGCCTTCCTGGGCCTCCTCTTAGGCTTAGATCTCCCCAGAGAACACAGGGGAGATCTTTGCATCAAAGGGGAGGTGACCTGCATTCTGGTGTGCTCCTTGCTTGAAGGAGCAATTTGCCGGTCTGTCAAGTGGAGACACATCATATGGCTCAGAGTGACATGAGGCCAATGAGCCAACAACTCACCTGAAAGCCTTAAGCTGGCACAGTGAACAAGGAAGGTACTATTATAAGAAATGACGGCAGGGAATCTTAGGAAAGAAGTGGGAAACAGTAAGATCTGGAGAGGACAGGAACTCCACAAGGAGAGCAACAGAACTAAAAACTCTGAGCACAGGGGTCTTTCCTGAGACTGATATTCCAACCAAGGACCATGCATGGAGATAAACTAAGACCCCTGCACAGATGTAGCCCATGGCAGTTCAGTATCCAAAGTAGCTTCCGTTGTAATAGGAACAGGGACTGTCCCTGACATGAACTGATTGGCCTGCTCTTTAATTACCCCGCCCCCCCGAGGGGGAAGCAGCATTACCAGGCCACAGAAGAAGACAATGCAGCCACTCCTGATGAGACCTAATTGATTAGGATCAAAAGGAAGGAAAAGAAGACCTCCCCTATCAGTGGACTTGGGGAAGGGCATACATGCTGAGGGTGGAGGAAGGGAGGGATAGGATGGGAAGAGGGAGGGAACCACAGGGGGGATACAAAGTGAATAACGTGTAATTAATAAAGAATTAAAAAAAAAAAAAGAAAGAAATCAAGGTTAAAGACAGGTGACCCTGGGGCAGCCTGGACGCAGCTCCCTCTCCTGTACCTGCAGCTGACAGCCATCGCAGGATGACCCCCTATGTTGACCGCTATGCCCAGCGCTCCTATCCCATGCCGGATGAACCCTACTGTACAGAGCTCAATGAGGAGCAGCGGGCCCTGAAGGAGAAAGAGAAGGGCAGCTGGGCCCAGCTAAGCCAAGCAGAGAAGGTGGCCTGTAAGTACTGGACCAGGCAGGCTGGCTGGAGAGGAGGGGAAGGCCGGGAGGGGAGGGAGTTCAACTCACCTTTTCAATTCACTGAATCTTCCTGTCTGAAGCTAGTGACCCTGGGGACATGAGGAGTCACCTGGACCACCTCACAGTGTGAAACAGGATGTGTGGCTAAGATAGGGTGTGTCCCAGGGAATGCAGACCCAAAAGATTGATGGGGTCTTCAGGAAGTCTTTCTGGGAAATATGAGTGACGTGGAGGTGGAGAAGGGTGTCAGGGCAGCAGAGGTGGAGGGTCCTTGTCACTAGGTAGGGCACAGAGAGGCAGCTGAGGGAGCAGGGTGGTGGCCCTGGGCTGACTTTGGCTATCTGGAGCCTATTTGCTACATTCCACAGTTGGGGTGTTAGAGATCTTTTACTTCAGGGGGTACTGATGGATGGAAGATGGCACGAACACTCTCTCACTCATTCTCTCACTCTGTGTCTTAGTGGGCATCTTACAAATGCAGACCCTGGCAGTATGGTTGGGAACAAGCCAGGCTGCACCCTTGCCCTGCAAACTTACATACTCAGTGCTCTGCCTGGCTCCTTTTCCTTCCTCCCACCTCCCCCACTTCCCCCCCACACCTCCCTCCCTATCTCCCCACCTCCCTCTTCCTTCTTCCCCATTCTCCTTCTTCCCTTGATGCTTCTTCCTCCTCTCCCTTCTTCCTCCCTTCATTTCCTTCCTTCCAACCATTCCATCCATCTCCCTTCTATATCAGAAAGAGAAGACCCCTGTTTCCTTCTCTACTTAAATGTCACCACACTAACTATGCCTCTATACCCCCCATTAAATGGCCAGCAGCCGGTCCTACACCAAAGGAAACTGAGGCTCAGAAAGATGAAATCACTGGCCTGGCCACACAACTTTGAGTTCCTAGATGTTGGTCAGGACTTGTTCCCACACAAATGGCACCACAGCCACACCACACTCTGGGAAGGTTGGTGAGCTACAGCTACAGGAGAATGCCAGCATCAGCAACTGGGCCCCTTGTCTCCCCATCCCTCACCTTCACCCCACCTCCTTCCTTCTCTTTGCTCCTGCCTGGATGGAGAGACACCGTGGCAGCCAAACTGCCCAACCCAAGACAGTTCTACCCAGGAACCTGCGCCAGTTCTCATTTTCCTCCACACAGCCAGTTCAGAGTTATTTAAAGCACAGAGAAACACTGTTCACATGTGGAGACACTCTTAAATGCAAGAAGGAAGGGAGGGAGGGGTGACGGATAGAAGAGAGGCAGGGAAGGCAGGAAGGGAGAATGAAGGAAAGGAGGGAAGAAGGAAGCAGGAAAGAGGGCAGAGGAGAAGTAAGAATGGAAGAAAGGAAGAAAGGAAGGAAGGAAGGGAAGAGGGGAGGAAGGGAGGAAGGGTCAGGGTCAGCATCTCTCCTAAGTCCTCCTGAGACCAGGTCCTTGCCACACAGACATTGTTTTCCCCCTCTACTGCTTTTTCACTCTTTGACTCTTGATCTGAGTTGAGGTGGCACATTGGGCCATGATAGGCCTGGTCTGTGCATCTCCTGACAGCCATGCCAGAGCCTGGGGAGGCATCTAACTATGACTATATTTTGATAATTACTAGAAGGTGCAAACTTAAGCAAAAATAAAGGTTTAAGCTGGCATGGTGACATACACCTGTAAACCCAGCCCTGGGAATGGCTGAGGCAGGAAGATTGTGGATTCAAGGGCAACATGGGCTGTGTAATGAGATTCTTTCCCAAAATAAGCCAATGTTTTATAGTTTTAAACTCAGAGATACAAAACAAAGCCTCTTATGCACAGCTAGAGATCTAGGTGCTGGGAATGTGTCATTCTTCTGAGCATCTGGGGAGAGTGAACTCTACAAAGCAGATAAAATTCTCAGTGGGAGGAGAGAGGACAGGAAAGTCCTGATAAAAATTTGTAACATAAAAACTTGGTTTTGTACTTGTGTGTCAGAAATCTAGCCTCCCTGTTCAGTTAGAATGGACCGGAATCAGCTGGCCATCGTGGCACAGGTCTTTAATCTCATCACTTAGGAGGCAGAGGCCACAGATCTCTGAGCTCAAGCTCAGCCTGGTCTACAGAGTGAGTCCAGGAGAGCTGGAGCCACACAGAGAGACCCTGTCTCAAACATCGAAAACAAAACAAACAACTGCACCATCACTCCCTGATGGGGACTTTGTTTTAATTTCAACTTGACTTTCTCTGTTTGATTCCCTAAACCTGGGTTCCAAGCTCCCCTCTGAGAGGCTTTCTGAGTCCCCCTAACAAAGGCAGCTCTCCTACCCACCCACACCCCTAAACCATTTGCTGAAACTTCTGGTGCCTCTCCTCCTAAGTTCCAGCGGGGTAGGAGTTTTCATTCACTTGGTCTCCACTGTGCCCAGGGTTGCCATGGTTTGTATACAGCGTGTGCTCGGTGAGGATCCAACAGGTGAGCTGCCTGCGGGCTCCAGCATCCAGGAACCAGAGGCAAGAGTAGGAACCTAGCTCAGAACAAAGGTGGGCTGGTGCACTGGGGAGATGGCTCAGCCAGTTATGTGCCTGCCGAGCAAGCAAGAGCACGTGAGTTTAGAAAACAAAACAAAACAAAACAAAACTGGGTATAATAAACACCCGCCAGTAATCTCAGCTGTCGGGAGACCAAGACAGGAGGCTCTCCCTGGCCTGCTAGTCTGGACCAATCAGTGAGCCTCAGGTTTAACAGGAGACCCTGTCACAAACTACGTGGTAGAGAGAACTGAGGAAGACACGGGATAGTGAGCTCTAGCCTTTACATTCACACACATACACACACCCTGTCCTACGTGGTTGAGTGAACAGCCTGCGGTGCAGGGAGGGGCAGTCAAGGGTGTCAGGGCCAACAGCTGACTCCAGGGTCCTCGGCATGGTCATGCATGAGCTTCCACACTCTGCCTGCCTCCAGTGTACCGGCTCCAGTTCCACGAAACCTTCGCAGAGATGAACCATCGCTCCAACCAATGGAAGACGGTGATGGGCTGTGTCTTCTTTTCCATTGGATTCACGGCTCTGGTGATTTGGTGGGAGCGGGTCTATGGTGAGTGCCTGGGTCCCACGGCTGTAGGCTGTCTATGCCTTTGTGACCATAGCCACCGGCTGAGCTCCCAAGGAGAACATGTTTAGGACTCTTCTGCAAGGGTTCTGAAGAGGCTCCACAGAGGTAGGGTAAAGAACAGAACATGGCCCTCAAATGGGGAATGCAGGGGGGCCAGCGCTTCAGGGCATTAGTTTTCCCGTCTGCACAAACGAGAATAACAGCACCCAGCTGTGGGCTCTCATGAAAAGGCTATAGGTCCAAGTGGGCGCACAAACAGTGGTTCTGATTTCTGGCTATTAGCCACGTATTTCTTTCTTCCTTTCATTTATTTTGGGTAGGGGAAGGTGTTGAGGTAGGGTTTCTCTGTGTAGCCCTGGCCGTCCTGGATTCGCTTTATAGACCAGGCTGCCTCAGATTCACAGAAATCTGCCTGCTTCTGCCTCCGGAGTGCTAAAATTAAAAAAGGCGTGCACCACCACTGCCTGGCCAATCCATGTATTTCTTAACATATTTTCAGCAATTGAAAGACATGGATCTATTGGCTTTTTTCCTTTTTTTTTTTTTTTTTTTTTTTTTCCTGTTTTGGTTTTTCAAGACAGGGTTTTTCTGTGTAGCCTTGGCTGTCCTGGACTTTGTAGACCAGGCTGGCCTCAAACTCACAGCGATTGACCTGCCTCTGCCTCCCTGAGTGCTGGGATTAAAGGTGTTTGCCACTGTACCCAGCTCCTTTTAAAAAAAAAATTATTTATTATTTATTTTTTTAACGTCCATTGATGTTTTAACTGCACGTACGCCTGTGTGAGGGAGTCAGATCCACTGGAACGGGAGTTACAGACAGCTGTGAACTGCCTTGTGAGTGCTGGGAATTGAACCCAGGCTCTTAACCACTGAGCCATCTCTCCAGCCCCCGCCCCCCGCCCCCCCCCCCCCCTTTTTAAGGCAGGGTCTTACTATGTAGACTTGATTGGCCTGGAACTTATTGTATAGATTAGGGTGGACTTAAACTCACAGAGATCCATCTGCCTCCCTACTGCTAGGATTAAAGGTGAGCACACTGTAATCAGCTCTGGGGTTTACTATGTGGACCAGGTTGATCTCCGAGAGGGAGTCTCCTTCCTGAGAGTCACGGTTAGGTACGCAGGTGCACTCCGAGCTAGGTTTATTTTTCTCTCACAATAAAAGGCCAGTGAGGCCATCTAGGACAGGATTGTCTCCACAGACCCTGTGCTCTGATACACTAACTAACAGGAAGAGAAGCTTACATTTGATGTATGAGTTGGGTTCTCCGTGTCCAGCCTCTTTTGTTCATGTCCTATTGGCTACACATGATCGCGTGTCCTTGCTTAGCTGCAAGGGAAGCTAGGAAATGTTGCTTGTTGCTTTTTTGGGAATCTTTCTTCCCCCATTTCTCTCTCTTTGATGCAAAGTCTTGCCTAGTAGTGGGGGTGGTGGTGAATGCTATGCCTTTAATCCCAGCACTCAGGAGGCAGAAGCAGGTGAATAGATCTCTGAGTCTGAGGCCAGCCTGATCTACTGAGTGAGCTCCAGGACAGCCAGGGCTACACAAAGAAATCCTATCTCAAAAGCCAACCAACCAACCAACCAAATAAATAAAGTCAAGGTCTTATTCTTTAGCTCAGCGTCTTAGTCATTGTTCTATTGCTGTAAAGAGACACCATGACCTCAGCAACTCTAATAAAAGAAAACGTTTAATTGGGGCTTGTTTACAGTTTCAGAGGTTTAGTTGACTGTCATGGTGGTAGGCAGGCAGACATGGTCCTGGAGAAGTAGCTGAGAGTTCTACATCCAGATGAGCACACAGCAGAAAAACAGTGACAAAAGGGCCTGGTTTGGGCTTCTGAAACCTCAAAACCCACCCCTAGTGGCACACCTTCTCCAAGAAGGCCACACCTCTTAATGCTTTTTAAATAGTGGTATACTTTAATAATAGAATATTCAAACATATGAGCCTATGGAGGCCATTCTTTTTTTTAAGATTTATTTATTTATTATGCATACAATGTATGCATACCATATGCATACATGTACACCTGCACGCCAGAAGAGGGCATCAGATCTCATTTTAGTTGGTTGTGAGCCACCATGTGGGTGCTGGGAATTGAACTCAGGACTTCTAGAAGAGCAGCCAGTGCTCTTAACCTCTGAGCCATCTCTCCAGGGCCATCCTATAGCCCTCCAGACAGAACCTGCTCCTGATGGTGAGTCTTGGAGAGCTGAAGTAACGAGGTCAAGGCCACAGAGTGGAGCGGTGGTGGGGCTGGGGGCAACCCAGGGAGCCCTCTGTCAGGCTGCCACAATCACAGAGATGAGTGGGGAACGGCCTCACTGTGGGCAGGAGCTGCAGTGTAGGGCAGAGCTGGGGGCAAAGCCCTGGTCCTGGAGGGCGCTTTTCCAGAGAGTCTAGAGAGCCTGGCAGTGCACACCACTGATCCCAGCACTGGGGAGGCAGAGGCCGGTGGATAGGACTCTGAGGCCAGCCTGGTCTACAGAGTGAATTCCAGGACAGCCAGGGCCACATATTAAAAATCCTGTTTCAAAAAGAGAGACAGAGACAGACAGAAACAAAGAGGTGCAGGAGAGCCTGGAGATAGCAAGGAGAACACCCCTCAGTGTAGGGGACCTTGACTGCACGGCTGTAGAGGAGGGAGCTGTTGAGGGGGGGAGACCGAGGGGACCTGGGCTGCCACTGTCTCCCCCTTGCCCTTCCTGCAGTGTTCCCAGAGAAGGTTGTCACCCTGACAGAAGAACGGAAAGCCCAGCAGCTCCAGCGCCTGCTGGACATGAAGAGCAACCCCATACAGGGCCTGGCTGCCCACTGGGATTATGAGAAGAAAGAGTGGAAGAAGTGACCAGCTCCACACATTTGCCGCTTGCCCTCATAAAATCACCCTGGTACAGAACCTGGAGCCCAGGGCCCCCCTCCTCACCTCTCCTCCCTTCCCCTAACTCTTCCTGTCGCCTCTACTCCTCTCTGCTCCAATAAAAGCAGTCTGTTTTCTCCTGAAAACTCTCCTTTGGACTGTATCTGCTAGTATGTAAACTTAAGCAGTGAAATGGGGGGGGGGGGTGGCAAGTCTCGAAGGGTTTCCTGGAGAAGTGGGCTGGGGCTGGGCATTAGGCAGGATTGGGAAAAGGCAGGATGGAGGAGAGAAGGCATTCAAGGGAGGCCGTAGCAAAGGCAAAAACACCCATTTGGTCAATTAACAGATCTTTTCCGAGCACCCATGGAGTACCCAGCAGTAAGATTCTGCTCGTGTATGCAACTATGCTGCAGGACAAAGTCCTCGGCTTCGCAGAGAAGACTGTTCTTCTGCAGAGGCCTATACAGAAGTGAGTAACAAATAATGGCAAGAAATATTGCCGTGATTGTTGCGGGGAACAGTGCTGCAGAGAAAGCAGGGTAACCGGAGTCTGGGAAGCAGGTGAAGAGGGCAGGCTGGAATCAGGAAGCAAGCCTTGACTGGAAGGCAGAGGGAGTGGAGGGGACGGCTCTCGGAACATCTCTTATGTGTGAGACTCAGTTTCTTCCCTGGCACTACAAAAGAAGAAGAAAAAAAGAAGAGGAAGAGGAGGAGGAGGAGAAGGAGGAGGAGGAGGAGGAGGAGGAGGAGGAGGAGGAGGAGGAGGAGGAGAAGAAGAAGAAGAAGAAGAAGAAGAAGAAGAAGAAGAAGAAGAAGAAGAAGAAGAAGAAGAAGAAGAAGAAGAAGAAGAACCACCTCAGGGTGGTAGCGCACGTCTTTGATCCCAGCACTCAGGAGGCAGCGGCAGCCACAGCCACATCTCTGAGTTTGAGGCAGAAGAAGAAGAAGAACCACCTCAGGGTGGTAGCGCACGTCTTTGATCCCAGCACTCAGGAGGCAGCGGCAGCCACAGCCACATCTCTGAGTTTGAGGCCAGCCTGTTCTACTGAGTGAATTCCAGGACAGCCAGAGCTACACAGAGAGACCCTGTTTTTTGTTGTTTTTTTTTTTTTGGAAAAATAATATAGATTAACAAGTGCAGAAACCTTGGGATGGGACCTGGCTTGCCAGTCTGACCTTTAAGGAGGAGTGACTGAAGAAGGTCCTGGAGCAAGGAAGGAGGTGTGATGGAAGAGAGCTGGTCTGGGCTTGGGCTGAGGAGCAGGACACCCCACTATGTCCCAAGAATGATGGGGAGCTTCAGTGTTTGGGGCCTCTGAGGATCCGATGCCAAGAGGAATGAGTCCTGTGAATAGATCTGGAGGCAATGACTGAGCGGGATGGAGGGGTAGAGAATGAGAGTCTGACACCGGGGGGCAGGAGGCGGGATAGGCTGGAGCCTTCTGTATCTAATCCATGGTTAAAATGGGCTGAGGCCGTTGGAGAATGGCTCAGTGGTTAAGAGCACTGGCTCCTCTTCCAAAGGTCCTGGGTTCAATTCCCAGCAACCACATAGTGCCATCTATAATGAGATCCAGTACCCTCTTCTGGTGTGCAGCCAAAATACTGTATAAATAATAAATAAATACATCTTTAAAATAAGGTGGGGGGGGGGCTGGGGATAAGGCTCAGTGATGGAGTGTTTGCCGAACATGTGCAAGACCCTGGGTTCAACTTCCAGTGTTACCAAGAACGAAACCAAACCAAACCAAACCAAACCAAGCCAGGGTCTCATTAATACCGAAAAAGATCAAACCTATACCGTAAGCCACAAAGGGAACCTTAAAAGTTCCCTAGGGGAACCCCCAAAAATCAGGGTGCTCCCCTGTTCTGGGGTCCAGGTTCTTAGGAAAATGGATGTGGAGAAGTTGCATGGGTGCCTGGCCGCAGCTGTCCCATAATTACGGGCAGCAGGATAACCGCAGCTGCCGGGGCTGAGGCTTGTGGCCGGTGGAGCGAGGGCGTCTGTGGATATGAGGTCCAACGTGGGCGGCCTCTGCCCTGGGGGGCTGCAGGGGCCCTGGAAGGCGCTGACAGCTCTTCCGCGCTGTGGCTGCTGTGATGATCACCAGATGGACACACACAGGCGAGAAACTTTCTGCCCACGGTGCTCTTGCTCTCCGGCGCCCTCTACCGGCAATGCTCGGTATCATCATCCCTTAAGTGCAGGCCTGACTTGAAGTACAGGAGGCCCAGCAGAGAACCCTCCTTTCCTGTTCCGGTTTGCTCTTCCGTTCATTTCCCTTTGAGATATGGGTTCCCTGTGTTGCTCTGGCTGTCCTCGACCTCAGGGTGATCTTTCTGCTCTGCCTGCCTAATACTGGGTTACAGTAGCCTGGCTAGTTTTAAATTTCTATAATAGCTAAGGATGGCCTTGAATTTCTAATCCTTCCTCCTCCCACACCCAAGTGTTGGGATTAGCCACGACTCCAGGCTTGACAACTACACTTCTGTAGATCTGAGCAGTGTACCACCACAGATACTCACCCCCCAACACACACACAGAGCGAAGGATGGATTTAGGGAAACAATAACAGCAACATCATTCATTCGGCCAACAAATTTTCGTACCAACTATGTCCCAGGCTCCGGGGCAAGTCAGATGAGGTTTCCTACTAGGGTCATTAATTCTGGTATTGTGAATCTGACAGTCTGGAACGGGAAAAGGGTCATTAACCTGGAATATTAACCAGATGGCCAGTCTAGTAAATCAGAGTACAAAGAAATGCCAACTAAAGAAGCCAAGTGGTATTTGGATGGCCAATCAGGAGCTCAGTCCGGAGGGCTTCCCTGAGGAAGTGTCCTCCGTGGATGTGAAAGATGACCAGATGGAAGCTAGGTGAAAGAGGCTAGGCAGAGAGAGCGATGTGCAAAGGCCCCCTGGTGGTGAGTTCTGTAACACCTTAGAGAGAGACAGCCAAAGAGACAGGACAAGAGAGATGGGGAGCAGACAGCCTGAGCCCCCCAGGTTCTGCTGCTTCTACCGAGAGGAAAGCATGGAGGAGGGAGCAGAGGAGAGGTGTCAGGGCCAGAGAACAGCGGCTTTCTGGGTCCTGCACTGTGTGGTGTGAACCCATTTACCACTCACAGAGATCCACCTGCCTCTGGGCTGGGATTAAAGGCGTGAGCCACCACCCAGCCCTGTTTCTTTGTTTGTTTGAGACAGGGTCTCTATGTGTAGATTCCAGAAGCCAACAAGCTAGCCCAGCTCACTTATGTGCAAGCCAGGTCAAGCTGCTGAAAGGCTTCTTTGTTATTGTTTATTTACTCAACTTTGTGCAATGCTCAGAGTGGAAACAGGGCCTTGTATATGTTAGGCAAGGGCCACCACCCAGCTGGCAAACCTGCTTTACTGAGAGCAAAAGGGACTCCCAGAGGTACACTTGCTGGAGGTAGCAGAAGGCTTTGGCTAGACTTCTGAGATTATGTAAAAATCTGACAGTTATCCGACAGTGCCTGGCATGATTTCTAAAGATGTTTTTCTTTTTGTGATCAAGAATTCTGGCCTTTGCTGGGTGTGGCGGTGCATGTCTGTGATCCCAGCACTCAGGGAGGCAGAGGCAGGCAGATCGATGTGAGTCTGAGGTCAGCCTGGTCTACAAAGTGAGTCTAGGACAGCAAGCCAAGGCTACACAGAGAAACCCTGTCTCAAAACAAACAAATAAACAAACAAACAGAATTCTGGCCTTGGGAATGGAGAGATGACTCAGTGGTTAAGAGCACTGGCTGCTCTTCCAGAAGACCTGGGTTAGAGTCCCAGCACAACCATCTGCAACTCCAATCTCCGGGGATCTGATGCCCTTTTTAGGCATCTATAGGCACTAGGCACACATATAGCGCACACAGACATACATTCAGGAAATACACTCATATACACAAAATAGTAATAAAAATAAAAGAATTCGGGGCTGGAGAGATGGCTCAGAGGTTAAGAGCACTGGCTGTTCTTCCAGAGGTTCTGAGTTCAATTCCCAGCAACCACATGGTGGCTCACAACCATTTGTAATGAGATCTGGTGTCCTCTTCTGGCCTGCAGGTGTACATGCAGGCAGAATGATGTATAAATAATAAATAAATTAAAAAAAAAAAAGAATTCTAGCCTTCTTGTTGGACTAATAGATGGTGACTTAGTTCAGGGACTATCCAATCCCTCCAGTGGCTGTAGTCATGAGTCTCAGGGTTTGGTCTGAGCCTTGTGATAAGGCTCAGGAACCAATTGCAGCTGCCTAAGATGCCAAGAAAGCCCAAGATTACCAAGAGCAGGATAGAAGAAACACCCAACGCTCCAGTGAGCACAACAGGTCAAGTTAACCTTGTATTACAGTCTTGGGAAAAACATCTTTTTAAATGATCAACTGTGTCCACATCAGAGCTGGGCAGATTCTGAGTCACTGGGGAGACAGCAAAGGACAGAGACAGGTGACCACAATGGTTCAGCCTTGGCTCCATCTCACCTGTGCCTCGGCTCTCTGCGGGTACTGCTAGAGGTGCATTATTAGCCACGTGTGCTGGTGCAAGCTCTTAATTCCAACTCGGGAAGCAGAGGCTGGTCTCCATAGCAGGTTCCATGCCAGAGAGAGCTACACAGGGAGACCCTGTGTCAAAACAAAACAAACGAAAGGACGCAGGTGGCTGAGTTCTTGTCTAGCATGCACAGAGCCCTGGGTTTGATCCACAGCACTTCTTAAATCTGGAAGCGGTGGTATACTCCTGCAATCACAGCACTCGGGGCTGAGGCAGAAGGATCAGAAGTTCAAGGGCGTCCTCAGACACATAGTAGGTTGGAGGCCAGCCTCAGCTACTGGAGACTCTACCTCAAACAAAGCAAACAAAGCAATCAACAGGAGAGAGGTAGGCGGGTGGCACACGTTTAATTCCAGCACTCAGCACTGGGAGAGGCAGGTGATCTCTGAGTTTGAGGCCAGCCTGGTCTACTGAGAGAGTTCCAGGATAGCCAAGGCTACACAGAGAAACCCTATCTCAAGAGAGAGAGAGAGAAAGAAAGAGAGCTGGGGAGAAGTAGAGGTCACACCCCCAAAGACCTAGGAACATCTGATAAGCCCCACCTCCTAAAATTCCAATACCTCCTAGAAGCACCG